CCTTTGTAACTAGTTATTATCGAACCAACGCGTTGATAGTATGTTTCATCCATACAGTCGATCCAATATAAACGCCGCACAGCCCGTTCTGAAGTCGAACTCGCTCCGAGATACGCAGTCGTCGAGAGTTTAAAATCGGATAACTCCATATACAAATTTCGCGTCTGGTTTCTCTCATCGCTTAGCCGAACGAAATTTTCTCTCCGCGTCGCAGTTGACGACGCGACACTTTCTTCTATCGCGATACGGCGCAGCCCGAAGGCATCTAATTACACCCACTTGAGCGACCAGCATTCCCCGTCAGCCGGCGCTAATTAATTTGTGTGCGAGAACCCGACGATGGGACACGTGCGCCCAGAAAAAGCGCCTTTGGTGTCGTCGCACTCGACTCAAGAGGCATTGTCGAGATGACGTGAGACCCGGAGGTGGTCTTAGCGCCGAGTTGTTTAAGTAGTTGTTTAATCGCGCCGTTATCAATGTACACGGCGAAATTTGCGTTTTCTACGCATAAAAGATGAAAACAAACTCGTTCGAGTCGTGAGAAAATATGTACGATAGCGGCGATAAAGCGGATCCTGAATCGCGCCGAGAGACACGGTTCTGCAAAACATTTTCACAACCGCTTTTCCCCGGCAGGACTGGTTGCGCGAATCGGGGAACCAGAACCCGGTTCGAGGCGATACGGCATCCGTAGAAATCCAGCTTCAGATGCGATTTCGTCGAAGCGTGCGAGGTTGAGGATGACGCGGAGAAGGGCAGCGATTTGTAATGCGTCATCAAACATGTCGATAGCATTCGTCTTAAATGTCGATATCGGTGACACGATAAGGCGCGTCCGATAGCATTCATAGAAGATCGGGCGTATTAATATTTCAAAGACTAATTGGAGCAATCCAGAGTCACGCGAGATATATACATATATCTTTTTCGTTTTATTGTTACAAATAACCGAAAGCTGTTCCTTATATATGCGTCTTTAATTGCTGCGAAACAATCGGAGCTTCGTAACGAACGTCGTACAACTCCGGATGTGTTATCGCCCACGAACGTGATAAGAAGTATGGTGCAACTAGATACCGAGCGTACATTTGCGTCGTTTCGAGCGCGCGCAACTCACGACGAAGGCGCGCAGAAAACGTCGACGAGAGAAGCGAAATCGTCAACGGAACCGTCAACGTCGCTTTTGAGAGAAGCGATATCGCCAACAGGCGAAGTCCGATTGCGATTTACGAGCCGCGGCTCGTAAATGGCACGAGCCGATCGCGCGGATGCCGAATACACGTAGAAGACACACGGAGCGGGCATTTAGTGAAAGGCAGCGCGCGCGTCTTCCGTGGCCGAGATTCGAGCCTCGATCGCACGACGACGACGACGACGACGACGACTACGACGAGCGTAACCTAAGTCACGATTCCCCTCCTGGGTGTCGCGCGTCGATGCGGCCGCGTGGAACACCCGGTATACGCGAATTACTCTCCCGCGATTTATTATTCGCGCTCGTGCGAGGAGCCGTCCAGTCGCCGTTGTAATTTGTTTAGACTCGCGGCGCAGGCTCTCTCTTTCTTCCTGCCGATTTGTCGTGCACGCCGACAAAAATGATCCTCTTTCGCCTCCCTTGGCTCAATTGAGCCTTTTTAACCGCAGAGGCCCGCGCCTTTGCATCGGGACGCGAAGCGCAAGCTCAATTTCGTCCCCTGAATAGCGATACTTAGGGGATTACTCCGCGAGACGTGTAATGCCAGCCGGGGATTTCTCAGGAGGATTCTCGAGTATCAAAAGGATTCCTAGAGAATCGCAGAAACTCGACTACGGATGGGGTACGACTTTATCTACATGTGTATATCTTAATCCCCGGTCGCGGCGAGTTCCCCGTGAATGGCACTTGTGGACCGTGCTTAATTCGGCACTGTGACCCTAATTTAAGTCGTCCGGACGTCTGAGAGAGAGAGAGAGAGAGAAGGAGAGACGGTAGCGAAGAGAGATGTTTGTTGCGCAAAAAGGAACTGAGCTCGAATCAAACGCATATGTTTACAGATTCGTTTCTCTCGCGTTTATCTGCGAAACCGCCGAATCGAAAAGGAAAGAAACGCACCAACGGCGCGGAGCGGCCACCACGTAACACCTTGAAATCCAGTTTCCCGCATTGCATACGCTGAAGAACGAGAAATGTGAAACGCGCCGCGTCGCCGCTCGGGTCGACAGCCGTGCGTGCGTCTTGTGGATTTTTTTTAGACAGCCCCATTGGCTATTTGCACGGCAGCGGTGCCCCTTCGTGCCACAAAGAATTCCTTTATGTCTCCGAGACTCGACTCTTATTTCGCGAAAATCGCAAGCCCAATTGAGAGGGAGAAAGAGGGACGAAGACATCATTAACTCCCTGCTCTTTCTTTTTTTTTTTTTGTTTTTGACAATAAATCTTTCCTGAATTATCAAAATGTCTTCCACTGAAAGTAATTAAAGCCTGCGCAGCCTTCTGTTAGTACAATATTTCTCAGGCTGTTTCGTGCCGGGGGATAATTAACGAGCGAACGTGTTGCAGTCGAAATTTAATATAAAGCCTCTATCAAGGCAATACGGCGTGATTTCGCAATTACGGGATCGGCGTACGCCGATGTCGTAATCGTTTGTCGAATGTGCAGTGAAATGGAAAATCCGGCGAGTTTAATAAGGCTCTCGTTAGAAAAGAAAGAGTCGTTCTCGCCGATAATGCGGGGAGGAAACCGATGGTAGACGCAAGGATTCGATACGCAGCCGTGAAAACCGGCACGCGAACGCCGCGGCGATAGGCTCGCCCGCTTTCTTTTTACTGTTTCTTGACCCGCCGTAAACGCAGGAATTTAGATATCGCGTTTCGCGTTAAGTAAAAACCAATCGGCCGTGTAATTCCGCATTCTGCAATTATTCGCGAGGAAAAAGAATCGCAATACGTTTTGCTTATTTTCGCAGAACGTTCGACAGTTGTTGAAATACGACGTTTGTTTTAGATGGATTCGCGTGATGAGATAAGCTTATCGAAACTCGTGCCTGCTCGGCACTCGTAACTCGTCCAACTTCTCCCGTTTTCGTGGTCGAGGCGCGCTGCACAATCATCTATTTTTGCGACACTTCCGCGCGAAACGTCACCGTCAGTTTTGGCGCCGCGTAACGCGCCGCTACCGCGAAAGTCCTTACATGGTCTTACAGTCATCGTGCCACTTGTGTTACATTACCGAAACCAATGATTATTCAACGACGAAAAATTATGGCTCGATTTGTCATTTTCGAGTTCCTCAAATTTCATGAATATTTCGGAGCATCTCGTGAATTTCAGGTATCCAGAAACACGTTTTCCGCCCGCTAGAGAGTCCGTTTTCACGCTCGCCGCAGAGTGGATGGATGGCCACGTAAAAGTATCCCGTTACCACGGTAGCCCAGATACCGGATTACGAAGCACGAATTGTCAATCGCGCACGGACGAGACGGGCTTCTAAAAGACCTTTCGGAGATTGTGGCGAGACGTCTAGACGGACTTTATCGGTCGACATTTGTTCGAAATTTACGAATCAATAAATTTCCTTTAGGAATTCCAAGTGCTGAAACGTGACTCTTACTTTAGAACATTAAAACTTTAATAGAAAAAGGTGTAAGAGCAAATAATTCGATAGAAGTTCTATATTTCGGAAGTCGCGTAGTTGAAAACAATTTGAAAATTTTTTAAACAAACAAACCGCGCCTGTGATTGGAATTTGAAGATGTGTGCAGTATGAAAGATATCTAGACGTATTTAATTAATTTAATTTTTGCAGCAAACTGCTCATTTGTTCGTATCAAATTAGCACACACCGTTATCGTGGCACGCCGCCGTCCCATTAACATAATTGTTAATGGAGCCACAAGGCGTCGGCTCGACTGATCGGCATAATAGAGTAAACAAGCTGGCGCTACGGAGCCACTTAATCTCCAATTGCCGCGTTTGCCGAGTTACATCGCGAGGATTCTCACGTGATCCGAGCAGCGATGATAAATCGGTCAATATTTTCAGACGTGTTTTTCAGGCGCGAGCGCGAAATTGATTCGCGTTTAAGCGTTTGAGCCACGGGGCTTCGATAAGCCACTGAATCAATGAAGGGGGCGGTGGGTGCATTCCCTCACAGGAGCAAGAGATATCCGGCGGGATCGATAGCGGAGTCGAACCGGAGAGCGAGAGCCAGCCCGGATTTCAGGCAACGCTCGTTAGAGTCTCGATAAGTCGGTCGTTATTGTAACAACACGCTCGAATGAATCATAATATCGATAATAGCGTAACGCCGGCGCGCCGAGTACGGAGACCCGGAGAGGTGAATGGCGCGACGTTTACGTTTCTCGACCGCCTGTTTACAGGATGTAACCCGCGAGCCTGTCACAATGAAAATAACTTCTTCTTTCGGTCCGGTATGCTTCTGTATCTCGTCCCTCGAGGGGGAAGCCCCGAAGGGATCGCGATCGTTTGCTTTACGTTCCAAGCGGACAGAGCTGCGTGCTTTCGATTTTGGCAATGAAGGCTCGTCGACGGGCCTTCCTTTCAATGGAAGTGAATTGTGTCGATTATCGAGTCGGAAATTATTTGACAACGCAGAGTTCCGTTGAGTATATTATTATTATATAACTGACATAGTTTACGTTGTAATTACTAAACAAAATGCTCCAAATTGTTGCGAAAATTTGTGCCCGCGGAGAGTTCTATTTTTCGCTCAATTACTATAGTAATTAACCTATTTGATACGCTATCGGCGTCGTATAATGGTCAGCCGCCACTATTGTGAGCGATAATCTTCTTTTAATTTAACGCCTGTAGCTTTCTGTCTTCAATATTATTTTTTTCTTTTTAATGACATTGTTGAGATCGCTTGCTATTGGAGCTCTTGGTCCAACATTTTATTAAGAATTAATTTTGTTTTCAGAGACTTTTGCAGTTTTTCGTAAATATCCATACGATATCTAATAACAAAGAAAAACACGCGCGCGCTCAGGAAGAAACTCACCTTTAATTTTGGTCTCCTGCGGATCCAAGGGCGGCAATCGTGGGTGCGTCTGCTGTCCCGGTTTCTTCAGCAGGACACCCACGACTTGCGGCGGTGGCATCATCATCATGATTTCGCTCTTCCTCTCACTCTCGGAGAGTCAATTCGCGTCGCTCGTCATATCGATGTCGCTCTCGCGCGTATCCGGTCGAACGAGAGCTCTTCCGCTCGTTTTCCTTTCTCGTTTTCCGGTTCTCCTGCAATCGCGGAACCAACACTAGACTTTGCTGCTAGCTTCGCCGTTCCGACTCCGGAACGAAAGCCGAAACTCGCGCGGAATCTTGTTGAAGAAGCCAGCTGCCGACAATCGTCGTCGTTTTATTGGCCGACAAGCTTGGCGCGTCGTCGCAAGAGAGATGAAGAAGGCGCCGGCCGGGACCTCCTTTCCACTGACGATGCTCCTTCTGCGTGCCGCTTCGTTATCGTCCGCTCGTTCGCACTCGGCCGTCCTCCTTGTCGGACGTCGCCTGGTATTTTTTTAATTTAATGATCGGCGCGCGAACGTGACCTCGCGCGTTCTCGTCGCGCCGAGGACGCGAGCTCCGATTCGCGAGCTATTATCGCCGGGAGCAACACTCGTCGCGCGATGTTTGCGAGCCATTCGCAGACAATTTTACCAACGAGTTCATCAACGAGTTCACCGACGGATGCCAATCGACCGCTCGGTCGAAGACTCGGGCTCATTGACGATCAGCAATAATTTCCGGGCACTCAGTCGGATCAACGACTTGGTTGCTCCGATTTGTCATCATTTCGCAAACGTTTGTCTTGCGTTACTTGGCTTTCTTCGGCGGCAAAAGAAGAAGAGCGACGAGTGGAGAGAAACGCGTCTGCCAATCACGATCGGAATTAATCGTATCACCTGTTACTGCTCTCGAGATACGTCGATTTGTCTCATTCCAATGGTGTGCGCGTTCTCGAAGGCGCACGATTAATGCCGATTAAATGCGTCCACAAGTTTATCACGACGCGTAGATAAGTAATATCAGTGGCAATAATACGCCGCAATACGTTTCACCATCGCCACTTTCGAATACCGTGTCACTCTCCGAATTTCTGGAACGCGTCGGCTGATTACTACAAAATCAACGGCAGGAAAAGCGAGCCGGTGAACGAACTATTTTTTTTCATTTGGCAAATGTTATTTCCACTCCGTGGAAATTTAATCCTTCAAAAAAAAAAAATCGAATTTTGCTCGCAAATTATCACAAACAATTGTCGCAAACAAACTTTCACGAGACTCGACACGCCTCTGACAGTCGATGCACCGGTATTCAACGGAGACAACCTCTCTCGCGCGTGGAGCGTTATCACTGTTCTACGTAGAGGTGTGATCGATTCCTCGTCAACCCGGTGATAGGATCCTGCACGCACATCGACACGAACTTGAGGAACGAACGACGGAGCGCCGGCAACGTGACAGCTTGGCGCGCGCGCGGCGAACAACTGATCGTGGAGCGAACACGACCAACCAGAGAACGCATCGCGTATCCTACCCGCTCGCCTCGTCCCCACTGTTCGCCATCTGCGTCGGCTTTCTTTTTCTCTATGCACGAGAGAAGGAGAGACAGAAAGAGAGAGACACACACAACCCTCGTGGACCTTTAATCGTGTTTACGCATGCGACCCTCACGGCAACACTAATTTTTGTCTAGTTTTTTACGGTGTTATAATGATAAATGCCGTTCCCTCGCGTGGATCAATACTACTCCATCCAATTTTATAAATTAGAGATCGTAACAAATTTTAGGACAAAGGGATTTAAAAATAAATTTGTATTTAAATAAATGCACGGGATTTAAATCTGTAATTGCGGAGAGAACTTTTAGTTTTAGTATTTTATGGTTTTGGAATATTTTATGATTTTAGTTTTGTTATTCTAAAATAAAGCTGCGGACGCAAATATCTGTACGCTTTTTTTTTGTCGCGGTTCTCTTTTTACAGAAATTATTTTCTCAACTGATAATTTTTATAACTGAGTTATTTATTGCATTTAGATAAAGTTTAATCTGCGTCTATAACGCTAACGACACAGTTGAGTCATGAAATTAGCCTTCCTATTTCTTGTCTTTAATGTTACATTTTTAAATATGGCATCATCAGTGGAGAGTTAAATAAAGTTATGATCATTTTGTTGCAGATAATTGATTGAAAAAAAGCACAGCTTGTCTAAGTGACATTTTAGTTTTACGGTATAGCTTGTTAATGGCTCTTTTCCGTTTCATTTATCATAACGTGTGCGATATGCTGCGTAAGCGCCCGCGGGCTTTTCCGCCGACGTAAAGGATACGGAAGACGATTTTTTTCATTCTTTTCCTATCAGAACACGGGAACTCGATATCGGTCTATGACGCGCGAAGGTTTCAAGACCGCCGATCTATGACGATAGAGCGCAAATTAAAAACGCGGTGACACACTTTCACCATCAACTGCCGCTACTACTAACTCACAATGTAATGATCGCCATTCAGCTTCGGTCGAAGTGATAGAGAGAAAGAGAGAGAGAGAGAGTACACACAATGTGCAAAAAATCTCGCGTAATTATCGCGAATAAAATGGCGCGTATCTCGCGGGAGGAAGCATATTTTGACCCGAGACAAAAATATCGCCGCCGAGCGCGGCTAAAAAGCTAGCAGTTCGGCCAATCGCGGCGCGACTCGCGTGACTCAGCTCGCTTTCCTGCCCGTTCGAGCGGTGCTCTTAATTTTTTCTTCCTCGAAAATTTATTTGATTAACAGCTCACACCGGCGGTGCGAGCGAATGGCGCGGCTACGAAATCGTAATGCACACCGACGAGAGCGCGCGTCGCTGTAACAAAAGCGCCCTACAAAGTGGCCGTATATTGCCGTCGACCGCATTATACGCCGGGGAATGTCGCCCCTCACATTGTACCCACCGGGGTACGAACGCCATAAAATTTCGAAAAGTGTCGCGGAGATCGTGCGATTGGCGCGCGCGCAATAACGGCGACGACGTATTAGTGAGTTTTGCGTATTGTGATGGGGTCCGGAACTCGGAGCCCGGGGTCCGAAGGTTGAGGAAGAGAGGAATTTGATCTCGGCTTTTTTTACAAGAGGGACACCATGCACGGGAGATGAAAAATAGGGCGGAACGATGCGGAATCGTGGGACCGCTCGAATCGAGCGGTCTTAAAGCTGATTCCTCCGGACTGCGTCTTTTTGAAACCGTATTTCCGTATCGCGTTAGTGGATTTAGAAAATTCGATAAGAGATATAAATATTAGAATCAAGTGTAAAAGCCCGTAAAGGAGCTACTTTTCTACCTTGACTTGCAAAATTTATTTCACTTCGCGAAATATTTCCAAAAATAAAAAGCACGAGGACTTTGTATTCTTAAAAGCTAAAAAGTATTCTTTGTGCGTGATTTTCCAAATTAACCACAAGGAGACGGTTTATCGATCGCTGAGTTATTTGTAAATCAAACCGTTGACACGAGGGACAAATTGTGTGGTCGATCGCGTCAGAACGAGCTATAATTGAACGACGCGCCGATCCATATCGGGGCAGAATCTATTGACGTTCGCGCAACGCGATGTAAATATTTCCAAGTCAATAGTCGACGTAGATATTTTAGCGCTTGCGGTTCATAGTTCAATATTCCGCTGGCGTGTGTTGCGGACAATAATGCATGGGATTTTAGCCGTCACCGTTGTGCGCGAACGAGAGCGAATAATAAAGTTTTACGAAAATATTTTTATCTCCTTCGTTGTACGCGTTGCAGCCGTCGCGCGGAAAAATGCGGTCGTCTCGAGCGTCACCCCGCCATCAAAGGAAGAAGACGGCGAAGCGAAACGAGGAACTCCAAAAATATCCGATTCCTGGTTACCGACACGTACGTCGGTCCGCTGGTCCGATTCGCTAAAAGCAAAAAACAGAAAGAGACAGATTTTTCGTCCTGAAATAAAATTTGCTCGCAGCTGCATGCGAATAACTCCGGCCGCTGCGAAATATCGCAGGAACGATACGTTTCAATAGGCCGAGAAGTTTAGCGACTGGTCGCGATTAATGTCTGCGGGCTTCCTCCTAAAAATCCGAATTTAAAATCTCGAGGAGTTGAAAAAGTTACGAGCCGCGTGAAATCGTCTATAAAATTGTGGCGTGAACTGCAGTGGCTTGAAATAAGGTGCTGATTATTTCGGTGCTTGGCGGAGAGAGAAGAAGAGGGGGAGAAAGAAGGAGAGAGAAAGAACGCTCCAGAGGTCCATTAATTTCCCTCATCTAGTGCTATTTTGTAATCTGCCGATGCTAGCACGAAAACTCACGGGAATGAAACTTGAGTCATGAATGTGTGCGCGCGAACGCGATGTTAGTCACGGTGTCACTTAATTAAAATTGCTCGTTGAGCGTCAGCCGTCGCGAATCGAAAAGCTATGCCTCGTGCGAGACGTAAAGAACTAAATTAATTTCCGGCCGCGCTCTGCGCTGCCTTTTATGCAGGGAGCTGCGGTTTGTCGTGTTAAGTTCTTTGCCGCGCAGAATTAATATTTTTTTCAATAATTGTCTTTTAATTGTCACAATCCTTTCCTACTTCTGCTGATGTTTCGTGTCAACTTATATAAAAAAACTCCCTGACTCATTCGTCGAGGCTTGATACCAATTAAATTCAGACAAAAGTAGTTTGGAGCACAGCCCGCGCGCGGGCATGCGATACATTACGCATAACTTCTACTTTCACTTTTAAGAAAACATATGTATACTTGTTACGGCACATGAATTTTACGAGTCTATTATAACACGTCGATCGATTAACTCGAAATCGCCTCGAACACAAATCGCGAAACAATTGACTTCGCTTTTGTCACTGCAATATTTCAAGAATATTGATAAGATTGGTTTGATCAATTGTTTTTCTGACGATCTCTCTGTTATCTCTAATCTGCATTATCAATCTTTTGCAATCGACTGAACAATGAGAAGTGCGACGCAATTATTATAACAATTTGCGCATTTTATGGCGCGAGAGCGAAATTTCTATCGCGAAAATTGCAATTCATAAACGTCCTATCGTCTCGCCGCGTCTGTGCGCTCTTCTTACAGTACGATCCAATTTTAGACGAATGCTGATACGTGTCGTCTGTGCACTCTTTAAGCGGCTGTTACGACCATTCTATGAGTGCAGCGGGCACGAAGAATTTATTTCGCGTTTCTTTTCATTATGATTGTTATGCGCATAATTTGCAACGTAACATGAGTTGTGGTTCAAAAAATTACGTAAGTAAAAATTGTAATTTCCCATGATGGCAATAAATGGAAATGTTATGAGGATGACGCATCAGGCTTTTATAAGGTATCGTTGTTGGAAAACTATCCATTGAGTATGGCGCAAGGATAAATAAAATTACGGAGTAAAGCATACTTTTACTGCATTTATCGAACATTAGCTGCGACTACTTTTTTATAGCCGCGTTCTTAGAAGCAGATATCGTTCATAAATTTCACGAGTCGCATTACGTTATCGCAGAACTTTGTAACATCCTGCAGGATAAGGTATCGGCTGTGCTAAAAGCGCAGAGGGGAAGTTTTATTGATAAGAAGCGGCAACAAGGATAATTCTTGGTATTTTCATTTACGATTGTTGCCGAAATTTAAATCTTAAATAAACAGACAGATAATTGAAAATTAGATAATGCGTTGAACACATAATTAATAGTTTATATTTTATCCAAAGTACCTATTTTTTAAACAAATTTTTATTTCATGCTATAAAATTTTACGATTTGAAACTAATGACAATTGATGTTATTTTAAGAAAAAATCTTAGCCATAAAGGCAGTGATATTGTATTTAATCAAACGTAAGATCTTGATTCACGTAATTAACTCTCTCAACGTTTTATGAGAGCCATAAATGCTTTAAGCGAATCATTTGGTTAATTATTGGTTAACAAAGAAACTATTACGTTACAACGTGCGTCGAAAGAGAAAAAGCAATTTACGATGCGTTAGAAATATTGGTGCATAATTAATGCGCTACCAGAGACTGGTTAGAAAGTAAACGTTTTGAAAGCTCGTTTCGGCGCGGCCGCGCTACAAAATTATAGATCGTCCGAGTTGCGCACGCGAGACCATACATCAGCTGTCAGGAGAAGATTTCGTGACATTTGTCGTTAGATGAGGCTGCTGATATAAACCCAATAGCGCCGTTGAACTCTGACACTCCGTAATGCACGACTAACGAAGCGTTAATCAGCGGGCCACAAATCTTCGTTTAGTTTATGCGGAAAAAGATTCGACGGAGCCGAGGCGCAATTTCTCTCCCGGCCGGATGATGAACCCACGCGTGCCCGGGCCATTTCACCGCGTGAATTACTTTTCAGATGCACGCGAATGTTCGCGAGATAACGCGAGAAAAGTCAGTCACTCCGATCTTGATCTCGGGTTTTACGTTCATTTATTTCGACGAGATAAATGGTTTAGACTCTTTTATCGCGATGTACCACTT